CCAGACCTGGGCTCAATCTCTTTCAAGATGTTACTGTGAGACGAGAGCTTATAGTTCAGTGGAACAGAGTTTACCTGGTATGTCAAAGGCTCTGGGTTTCATTCCAGCATAAGGGAGATGAAGAGAGGGAAGGGGAGGGAGGGAATGAAGAGGGAGTAAAGGAAGGAAGAAAGAGATCATATTTTTTAAATGTAACCAAGAAAGAATAAAAAGGATCCAAGTTTGGAGGAATCTCATGCTGAATGGCCTGAACTCCCAGCTTCCTGTGGGACTCTGATTGACCAGGAGGTCAAGCTTAGGGGCCTTTCTCCAGACCCTGGAATAGCAACTGAATTCCTCAATACTGCAGTCACCACCGGCAGACTTTGATCTGTGATGGAGAAAGCCTGGTGGGAAGCTGTCATCCCTCACAGTGTGACACTTCCTGGATGCCTGGCGCAAGGAGTCCTGGATCATCTCTCTCCCTCTAGTCCAGACTGCCAGAGAGATATAGTGTTTAAAACTGAGGAAAAACGAAAGCCATTTTGGTGTGTCTTGATTACACTTCTCCTTTGCTTTTCAATTTGTTCGTTTTTTAATGCCGTATTTGTAAGAAAGTGGAAAAATATGTGTTATTTTTATCTTTAGGGAACTGCCCTCTTGGTCTAAAATGGATGGCAGGTCTTGTTAGATGATTAATGTCCCAACTGCAGGACTTCTGTTCTGCTGGTCCATCCCCCACTTACCCCACTCTCAGCAGCTAGTCACTGCAGCCCCTGCCCAAGTTTCCAGAACTTTCCTCTGTCTACATTCCACATTTTCTTTCTGAAAATTCTGACAAGATCACACTTTGAATTCAGCCCTATCTGTCAGCACTGGAAGATGACATCACCTCTTTCATATAACAGGAGAAGTGGACATCCAGACCTATTTCCATAAACTTGTGCAGATAGTGCCTCTACCATCTATTCTTGGGTCTTTCCCTTGACTCGTGTTATTTTTATTTGCATTTAATGTCATTTGAGATGAGATTATGTTCCTTCTGGACTGTCCCTCCACACACAATTTTCTTACTTGTAAGGGCTCAGGGTGGTCTGTGGCATCCGATATGCCATGCAGCAAATCTACTTAGGCATGTAACAGAAGGATGACACTGGAGACCTCAGCAGGTGCCCCAAGACAGTGTACACTAATATCCTAGAGTGACTGAAGGTCTCAGAGACTTTTCAAAACAGCCTTACTGGAGTGCAGTTGAACACAATAAACCAGTACTTAAGGTAGACAATTTGGTAAGCATTTGACACAGATCCATGTCAGTGGCACCATCAGCACAGTCCAGATTGCAAACAACCATCACCAGTGTCTTTGTTCCCACTTACAATCTATGCCTCTCCCTTCCTACCTTAACATCCTCAGGAGTCACCAAATTTGGGTCACCATGAGTTAATTTTTTTTAATTTTGTATAAATGAAGTTATAAAATGAATACTCTAGTTTAAAAAAAAATCTTGCTTCCTTCACTTAGCCTTTTGAATAGTTTGAGATTTCATACATGTTGATGTGTGAATCAGTAGTCTGTTCTTATTAACTTGTGCGTAGTATTCCACTATGCAGATATGTTATTTCCTTGTCCATTCACTGTTGATGAACAGTTGTACTGATTATAGTGTAGGGCTATATAGTTATCAGGATCATCCCTGTACAAATCTGTGTATGAACATAAGCCTTTATGGGGGGGGCACTTGGGACTGGAATAGTTGGTACTTATATGCTTAACTTTTAAGAAACTGGCATGTTTTTCCAAAATGAAATTGTTTTACATTCCTACCAGCAGTATATGAGTTATTTCCAATAGCTCTACATCCATTTGAAGCTACTTAGTGCTCTTTAAAAGGCTACCTTCACAAAGCTGACTCAGAAGTTAAGAGAGTACCACTGCTCTTGCAGAAGACCTAGGTTCTGTTCCCAGCAAGCACATGGTGTCTAACAACCACAAATAACTCCAGTTCCAGGGAACTGGATGCCTTCTTCTGGCCTCTGTGGGCATTGCATGCATGAGTGCACATACACATGCAGGAACTGAACGTAACATTAAAAAATTGAATTTATTTCTATTTTATGTTTTTTAATGTTACCTTCAGTCCCTTTCTTCCATTTTTTCTTCTTTTTTATGGTGATGACCAGCATCTCCTTTCTTTTGCAGTTCTTTCAGTTACACCTCTCACTTCTGCTCACTACAGCTTATTTTGAGGTCACACCTGTCCTGAATCACATCCCCAAAAGAGCAGCTGTGGCCACATGCCCTTAGCACATGATACCAAGTGCCAAAGAAGTTTTAATGGACCCTCAGCAAAACTGAGATAATTGACGTATCATTTTGTTCCTTTCCTTAATGTCCATCCAACTGGCCCTGTTTCATGTCTTCTCTCCCCTCCACCTAGCTCCCCCACCAAGCCCCTCTCCATCCCTGAACAATTTAGCCCTGCCTTGAGTGCCACACCATGTTCAGAACAAAGCCAGACCCTCGGCCAGCCTTCTCCCCGGAGCAATGGATCTCAAGCTCTGCAGCCAGCAGGATCTCCATCCCTTGGAAAGTTATTAGTAGTGTACATTCTCAGGTTCCACCCCAGACCAACTCAGAAACTCCAGGACTCCAGCAAGTGGCTGTGCTATGATGGGCTAACTCCCATTGCCAGAGAATATAGCTGGCTCTGTTGTCACTAGAGCATGTCCAGTGAGTATCCTCACCCACAACTCTAGCAGGCTCCTCAAATATTTCATCTCAAACTTCAGTTACAGGTGGAATATGGAGAAAGCTGATGCTTGCAAAGTAAGAATTTCTTTACCTTTACATCTCAATATAAAGCAAATCCCTATCCATGGTTTATGAGGAAGAACTAAAGGACACTTCATGGTTGGTCAAAGACTTAGCTTTTCAATGGGTTAGAGAGCCATGTGGGCCCTTATTTGCATTTATCAACTTATTAAGGAAAGAAGGAACCTCTTCTGGAGGCAGAACAAGAATCTTCCACTTTCCTCTGAGGTCCAAAAGCAGGAGCCTATGTCCAACACGAGAAGGGAAGCAATACAGGCTGGCACTGTGGTGTGCAGTAGGGCAGATGACTTGGTGAGTCATCAGCAAGTACCAGTGTTTCCTCCAGTTCCCCTCAGCAAACACAGAATGCTGGATCATCAATACCCAACAATAGTATGTAGCACTTTCCTCCATGATAAATCAGCTTACAGGAAAGTTCATTAGGACACAGGATGTTCTAAAGGAAGGTGGGAATGCCATCCAGCAGGGAAGCTCATATATATAAACAACTCAATATATAAAATCTCAGTGTATAAACAAGTCAGTATATAATATAAACAACTCAGTATATAAACAACTCAATAGCTTCAGGAAGTCCTCGAAACTGGCCAGATGCACTAGTCCCCTCCTTCCCCAAGCATATATAAGTAGTAAGGACTGTGAGAGACACTTTCAGATAGCTGAGCTGCCTAGAAGAGGCTTAGACCAGCGAAGTTGTTTGGAAGAGGCAGACCAACTGAGCTGCTTGGAAGACAGACCAGTTGAGCTGCCTGGAAGAAGCTCAGATTAACTGAGTTGCCTAGAAGAGACACTCTCCAACCTGTTGAACAGCCTGCAAGTCACACAGTGAGCTCTAGGGTTGCAGCTTTCAAGAGCCCTCACTCAGCTGCCAGAGACTTGGTGATGCAACTGTCTTTGAGTTGCTTCTGATCCTGTAAGTAACCCCTCACCTATACTCCTGTAAGAAATCTTTACTTTGATCTGTTGTTGGTTCCCTATCTGTGTTGAGTAGATGTTTGTTCACATCTTCCCAGGAAAAATGTCACACAGCAAGCAGCTGTCCCAGAAGCATGGTTGTGGGATTTAGCATGAGTAGCTATGTCCTGAGCAGCCAGTCAGTTGTTGTCTCTGGCCTTACAGGCCAGGCTTGAAATAGTCAAGAGACCAGTGAGTGTGGAACATAGCTCTGAATACCTGAGGCAGGAGGTACTTTAGCATCAAAAATGAGCCACTTGCAGATGCTGGCGTCCTGGAGGAGGCAACCCTGTGATAGGAAGGAGGTGGGTCATCGTGTGGAAGTCACAGGCTGATGAGGCCTGAGTTATATGTTATATTTTAAAGATAAGAGTGGGTTTTTTTGTTTGTTTGTTTGTTTGTTTGTTTTGAGACAGGTTCTCCCTGAAATCCCAGCTGTCCTGGAACTCTCCATGTAGACCAGGCTGGCTTTGATCTCACAGAGATTCACCTGCCTCTACCTCCAAAGTGCTGGAATTAAAGGTCTGCACCTGGCTCAAGAGTATTTAGTCTGTTAGACATTTCTAAGCATACTTTTAGTTACTATTGTTAAATTTCCTAAGATACCATGGCCTTCATGAAAGAGTCAAAGGCAATTTTAGAAACCCTGATAGGCTCACAGGTTGAGGAGACTAGGGAGACCTAGGTATGGTGAGTAGCCAAGGGAACCCAGGGGGTTCCCACAAGACAAGTCACCTCACCTTTGATTTTCAAGCCTCGAGCAAGCTGGTTTTCTCATGATCTATCAGAGAATGGGCCTGAAAAAAATTGCTTCCATGTTAAAGGTTTGGAATGCAGTCAAATTGGGTTTCAGAGCACACGCTTATTTCATGTACTTTGGAAGCTTGACATGCTTGAATAAAGCACAGGCTCTGGAGCAAATAATACACAGGATTGTCTGATTTCTGCCTCTCTGAAGTGTGTAACTTTAGACAGGTTTCTGAACCTCGGTTTACTTCTGAGAGATGTGTGACAAACACTTCCCACAGTATGGACAAGCACTGAGAAGTGAAGGAGCACACATTTGTAAAGGCTAGAGCTATGCCTGAGATTAATTTAATGCCTAGTAAACATTCACTCACTTTCCCCTGTTCTCCCTATACCTTATTTTGTACATATATGTGTTTTAAAGTACACAAATCAATATAAACAAAAACCAATGTTTATTTTCCCCAACTTTAATGCAAGCTGGTTTACAGTTTAGTGGAACAGTCACAGCCTTCCCTTGATGTATATCCCACAGAATAAAAACCAGGTTGAGACCGGATGTCTTTACACCATGAGAACAGGCTGCAGAGGTATTTCCTAAAGTCCCTGTCAAGAAGCAAATAGAGGAGGGGGTTGACACAGCAGTGGATGGTGGCAATAATCTGTGTCACCTGAACACTTGTGTCCAAGCTGTATATGTTCTTGTTCTGCAGAGACATGTGTTCTTGGAGTGTAGACAGGAAAAGTGCAATAGTATAGGGCCCCCACATCAAGAGAAAAACACCTGTTATGACAAAAGCAAGCTTGCGAAGGTCACCCTGTCTCTCTCTGAAGCTTCGCACATTCCTCATTTGCACGAAGCAAAATATAAAAACCAACAGTGGGAAAATCAGTACCAAAATGCTCGTCTTTAACACCAGAAGACATTTCCAGAATGTCTCTTTGACTGGCAGGAAGTGAGGTCTGCTAAACGAGCATTTGTCTTTCTGCCTTTCCATCTGAAATTTAGAAAACAGGAATTCAGGCAAAGTGACCAGGATGGCCATGACCCACGCCAGGACACTTGTAATGGTTCCACCAGGCACTGTCCCGAGGGCTGGGGACAGCCACCTCACATGGAACAACATCTGGTACCCTTGCATAATGAGGAGGATGTTGAAAAGTGCCTCACTGTATAAGCCTGCAGAGTGGAGTCCAAAGAGAACTTTACACATGAGATTGCTAAGGCTTTCCCCACGGAAAATACTGTGAGCCCAGAAAGGCAGTGGAAGCAAGAAGCAAAAATTCGAAACTGCCAAGTTTAGAAAATATATGTTTCCCACATGCTTGAGTCCTTTGTATTTCACCAGGATGAAGACAGCCAAGAGATTGTCCAAGAGTCCAACCACGAACACAGTGAAACACAGCTGCAGCACCTGCTGTGCCGAGAGGAGCTCAGTGTTGTATCTGTCACGCGGTTCCAAGTCACTGTCCTCCAGATCACCTTCTATGAGAACATCATACTCATCCTCGGGGGCTTCTGTGTAATTAGCCATCTTCAGACTACCCTGTTGGGAAACCAGAAGTTACTTCTTCCATTCTACAGCTGAATTCTTCCCAGAGGAAACTACAAACAGAACTGGACTCACACAGACACACTTCCCTTTCCTGAGGCTTGATTTTAGTCAGAGCGAGTTGACAAGTCAGAAGACTCTGTAAACAATTTCTTAACACTTGAACACTTCCCCAGAGCAGAGGCTGTGCTCTACCTCCCATTACATACTCAGGGACTTAGTACCATGCACAGTGCCACCAGGCAGCTAAAGGAGGCAGGACACTGTATTCGCTTAAATTTTTGGCTGAAACAAGACTTTGCTAATGGAAAAGTTTCTAAGAAAGCATATAGTTACAGAGACAAATATCAGGGCTTAGAAAACAGTACATCTCATACTTTCTATGAGTTTGGAAAAGCTTGCCCATCCTTGAAACAGCTTAGTGGCAGGCTATAGTGTCTTTCTCTCAAAGGATATAAACAAATGTTTGTGAAAGTGATATCACACTAACCCTCACAAGCAAAGCTAATGAGGTCCAAGATGACTTACCACTTGCCCAGCTCATGGGAGGAAGGGCGCAGTCTCTCAATCTACTATCCAGGAGACTGTGGGAATGTCAGGGGCAGGAGAGGCCCATTTTCTTCTGAAAAAAACTGGTCCTGACCCCAAGGGGCCAAAGAAACCACTGTTTATCCTGGGCTCTGGCCCTCTAGTCACAGGGCTCAGGGATCAGCTGAAACCAAGGGACTTGAAAGTTCCTCAGACCTTAGGAGTCTCTGTAGAGTCTGAGAGAAACTGGGAAGTTCTTATATCCTGGCCCCTCCCCAGTAACTGCCGTTGACCTTGAAACAGCCGTCCTCCTGGTCACCCCAGGCTTAGTTGCTGCTGCTTCCAGTGATAGGAATGGAATGACGTCAGTGCACTGAGACGCACCCTCTGCCTCCTCACTTTAGCACTCTGGTCAGGTAACTGCTCCTAGAACAGAAAAGTGTCTATTGTTGCCAGGAGTCTAGATGCCAAGGGTCCTGGTTCTCAAATGCAACATCTCACTAGCAGTGGCAGAAGCCCAAAACCTGAGCTGAAAGAGATACAAGCAACGTGCAGTGAGAGTTATGGCACCCGGTACCTGTTGGGGCTTTTTTTGACATTTTCGAAGGGGCTCTGTGCTGAGGAATAAGATTCAGTGCACTGAGACGCACCCTCTGCCTCCTCACTTTAGCACTCTGGTCAGGTAACTGCTCCTAGAACAGAAAAGTGTCTATTGTTGCCAGGAGTCTAGATGCCAAGGGTCCTGGTTCTCAAATGCAACATCTCACTAGCAGTGGCAGAAGCCCAAAACCTGAGCTGAAAGAGATACAAGCAACGTGCAGTGAGAGTTATGGCACCCGGTACCTGTTGGGGCTTTTTTGACATTTTCGAAGGGGCTCTGTGCTGAGGAATAAGATTCCAAGAGAGGATTTGGAGAAACTAGAAGTCACACAGCTGTTATAGATTTGGAATGAGTTGAAGACAGAGCGTGGCAGAAGTGGGTGTTTGTGATGGTAAGCTGGTGAGTTTGGGACTGTGGCAGGTGTTGATGCTAAAGAAAGCAGAAAATTTGCAAGAAGCTGGAAACATCAGGGCTTGGATGCTTGAGGAGGCTGAGCCAGCTCTGAAAGGGATGCAGAGAAAAAAAACCCTGGGAAAATGTGGAGGTGGAGATACAGTGAGGCGGTCAAGGTCCACCCTGAGGATGCTGGTGGGAGAAAGAGACAAAAAAGGGAGAAGGTTGCCTGTGCTGGGAGGACTGGAGATGTCGAGGGGAATTGCTGTGATGTGAAAGAAGTTGAACTGAGAAGAAGAACATGAAATGAAAAATGAATGACAAAAAAGAAAGCTGGGCGTGGTGGCACACGCCTTTAATCACAGCACTCTGGAGGTAGAGGCAGCAGATTTCTGTCAGAAGGAGACCAAGCCTGCTCTACACAATGAGTTGCAGGACAGCTGGGACTATAAAAAGACCCTATCTCAAAAAGACAAAAGAAAAAAATGTAATAAATTGTTCCCAGGTTAATGTCTGTGTAGCTGGATCAACCCAATCTGGGGACCAGCCCTACCGATTGGCATAGTATTTGTAGCTTTGTGATGTCCTTGGTATGGTCAACAATGTACCTACGAAAGTGTGAATATAAAATAAAATAAAAATAGATAATGAGGAAAATATTAGATAAAAACAAAGAAAAAAGAAGCCTGGACAAATATGATTGAGCATTATGCTCCAAGCATGCTGACTGCTGAGGCAGAATGGGAAACAGACTGGTGCTGTGGGAACCCAGGCTGTGGCCACTTCCCAGCAAGCTCTCCCCTCTCCAACTATAGGGATTCTGTGAGCGAATCCTACCACCACAGGGTCACCAGGCCCTGAGAAGCTCTGTCAGCCTGTGGTGGTGGCACCAGCCCAGGGTCAACAGTGCCCCTCCTCCTGCCTCCTGCCTTCTGCCTCCTGCAGCTGTGTGACTTGGTGTCACAGCAGGCATCAGTGGAGGAGGCTTGGATAGTTCCAGATAGGAGAAAGAGAATTGGGAGTGTGCACACTGCCCCTTAGATGACTAAGTGAAGGGAGAAGCAAACAGCAGCCTAACCATAACCCCAGTCCTAACCTATGTGCTTTATGTCACCGAATCAAATGAAACTTAGTTTCCCAAAGGAAAGCACTATCCTGTAAATTTGGAATCACCCCAACTTCCCGACCTATATGCCCTTCACTTTCAGTATTATTTCAGTGTTATTATTCAGCTTGATTCCCAGCATTCTGCCTACTCACATTCAATTCAGAAGACTTTGGAAACTTCTGAATTGGAAGGAAGGTAAAGCTGAGAGGTCTAAATCTAAACCACAGTGAAAGTTTTCTCTACTATTCCCAAATGCAAAAACAAAAGGAGCCATAGTGCTACTTAGCTTTCCATCACTGACAAAACATGAGCTGACTTGAAAAGGAGGACAGCTGGAGTCAAGCCTGGGAGGAGCAAATACTGTGCAAGCATGAGGGCCTGAGTTTGGGTCCCTGGAATCCCATAAAGCCAGGTGAGGTAGCTCATGTCTGTAATCCTAGTGTTCCTAGACTGAAATGGGAGGAGACAGGAGAATGCCCAGAAGCTCCTGGGACAACTCTCGTGGCTTACACAGCAGTGAACAAGAGGTCCTGCCTCAAAAAATGTGGAAGTGAGACCTGACACCCAACACTATCCTCTGACCTCCACACATGTGCCATAGCATGTGCACACTTGCACTCACACACAGGAACTTGCAAATATACATATACCCGTATATCACACACACACACACACACACACACACACACAAACACACACACACAGTCCATGGTCACTTGGCCACATTGTCTTTGGGGCTGTGGTAAGGCAGCACATGGTGGGAACACATAACAGAGGATGTTTGGTCAACTCATAGCAAAGAGAAAGCAGAATGAGAGTTCCAATATTCGCTTCAATGTCACACCCCATAGTGACCTCACCTCTTGCCACCAGGCCCTACCTCCTAAAGGTTCCTCACCTCCTAATAGCCCCACCACATGGGGACCAAGGCTTTAATACACAGGCCTTTGGGAAACACTTATTGAAGTCACAACAGCCATCTGTGTTGGTGATGCTGTCCCATCTTTTGTGGCTTTGCATGTGGCTCACAACCTCTAACTTTGCAAGTCTGGATTCTTCTTTATCATTACAACTCAATGCCACTCTCAGTCTAAAAGCTAACACTTTGTACTCTCACTGCTCCTGTACTCTCACTGCTCCCTTCATGTAGATTACCCATTCATCCAGCAAATGTGTGTAGAGTGCCTAGCATGCATCCAGCCCTGTTCTAGGTGCCAGTAATGCATCAATGATCAAAGGAATCAAAACTCCTGACCTTCGTGGAGTTCATATTCAACAGATTCAACAGTCAGGAGGGAGGGGATGGTGCATACCTTTAATCCCAGCACTCTGGAGGCAGAGGCAGGTGGATAACTATGAGATCTAGGCCAGCTTGATCTACTTAGGGAGTTCCAGGCAGACTAGAGGATACAGGGAGACCCTGTCTCAAAAAAAAGACAAGAAAAAGTCAGTGGTGAGGAAGGAGAATGGGGCTGTAGCAAGAGGCAGCCTTGTAGAGAGGACGGGCAGGGAAGCAGTGAAGATCAGGTCCAATAACCTGCCTCTTTCCTGCTTGCTGCAAAGTTTTTGTATCAAGGAAATTGAAAGAATATGTAGGCCATAATATTAGCAATAGTTACAGAGAAGAAACAAAATTTTCTTCACATCACATTGACTCAATTTTAAAAAACATAGAGTTCACTGTATCCAGTCAGCATTGCTTTCAGCTCCTAAGCCACCCTTCTTTGTCCTGCTCAGTGATTCAAAAGCTGGGCCCTGTGATCATGTCTCATTTGCCAACTGGTGTAGAAGGCATGGGAAGGTGACGTGGGAGCTAAGGTCTTCTCATTCTGGTTCCAGAATTTTGTTTTACCCCAGAACCAACTTGGATGGAGACTACTGCTACACTTCAGTACCTTATTGAGCACACAGAGACTCACAGTCTCTCTTGAATATGCCCCTATTAGACCTGGGAGGAAAGTGTCTTCAAAGTGTTGTGCTTCAGCCTTTGGGCACCGGCTCTTGCCTGCAGGGTTACCCCTGCACCCTTTAGAGTGCTCCTTACTTTCTATAGTGGCTCATGCTCTTACTAGTTAATAATTCTTTTTATTTAATACCCACTGTTCAAATAACTGGTATGATTTGTTTCTCTTGACTGGAAGCTGATTGACACATAAACATTAAATTCAGGTCAGTGACAGGATGCTGGGATGAGTGTTGGCATGGAGTCAGATTTTGGGGTTCTAATTTAGCTTTCAGAATGGTTATTGGATGGCTTAGAATTGCCTTACTCTATTCCTTATAAGGATTTCTTCAGATACATGTTCTGATAGATTTTTTAGCCATCTGATTTTTATTGGTAAATGCTGCATTACAGAAAATTTGGAAAACATAGAGAAAAGAATCTCTTGAAAATGATACTTTCAAATAACATCTGTGCTAATTCCCATACAATCCTGCTTCTCAACAGAAAACGTACAAAAACTACTTTTAGGAAACAGTCTGTTTTCCACTGGGTTATTTTTCTTATTGAATAGCAAGACTGAGGGACTGAGTCCACACATATGATTTTAGGGGTTGGACCACTTGCTAGTATCCCAGAGCTGAGAAAAGGGAAAAAAGCCACAGAACTCCAACATTTTATTGCTTATTGACATTTGTGACTTTCAAAGAAAGATCAAAATGAAACCAAGCAGATCATTTGTAATTCTGGGAATCCAGGACTCTGAGAGGCAGAGGTATGTGTGGAAAGCTTATTGGGCAAGGGTTTCAGCAAACACATCTGTAAAGGACAGAGTGAATCAGAACCAGGCAGAGAGAGAAGGGTACATTGTGGAAACAGCCAAGCCATCAGCTGATCCTACAAGAAACAATGAACATAAAGTGGCTGTTAAGGAGTGTCCTGAATTTGGGTGGTTGGGCCAAGGCCCTCAAACAGCTCCTATTCTCAGTCATTCCATAGGAAACAGCATAGCCTAGGCAAAAAGTTCCAGGTCCCAACAAAATACCCATTTATGAGTATCAGCAGCTCTCTGCCCAGCACCTGAAAAAGGTAGGTGTGTTAACCCGGAAGAGGGCATCTGGGCAGATCCTACAATGTCCTATGTGCTGGAGAAAGGGGAATCT